AAATTCTGCAGAACGGGGATTAACTGAACCTGAAAAACGTGTTGTTCCCATGGTGTATTTCTGCTCTCAGGTTGTCTCACACAGCATCTGGTGGGTGAGGATCTTTTCACCCACAGATGGACTCGCTGGTTCTGTCGTTAAGATTTCACACAAAAAGTGGTACATCTGTGGCTAAAGATTCGAGGCTGGGATGGAGGGTGGTAGAGAGGTAGCCAAGATCTATTTGCTAAAAATGATAGACCCAGATCAGAGTTGACTTGTGGAGAAAGGGGTTAAGGCATTCAGTTCAACCTGGATGCATCTGCAGAGATGTGACTCCAACCACCATTGACACACAATTGAGAATTAACTCTGTGTACTGCAATTAGCACGGCTGATAGATGGTCTTACTGAATTCCGAATAGCGTAGAGATTTCAATGACTGTTTGAGCATTGATCACTGAGCAAAGTAATTCTCTGAGGGTTTGTTTAAGTAACTATTCATTAATAAGCAAATGAATATAATTGGTTTAAGGTACGGCTGCATGAAGGCTATAGCTTAGGACGTGGTTAAAGATAGGTGGTCTCTTTATTAAAGGCAGCTAATGTTGCCGTTAATTAATGCTGTTGGTAGTTTAAGCAATACAAGGAAGACCCTTGGATTCCACTAGCTTGTCAACTGTGATCACCACGACCCATCTGTAATGGACTTAATTATTTCTAGAAGTCACTATTTGCCATTGTTCAAAACACATTTTGAAATACATTTCAATCCCAAATGGCTGCGTGCTAATTTGCTAGATTCCAAAACACTTCAACTAATGTGAATGGAAACCAAGCTACAATGGAACTTCTAATGGGTTGGAAGCTTTTTAATATGCTTCCAGCCTAACCAGCAATTCCCACTTCCCTGATATCAGGACATTTCATAGTTTGGTAAAACTCTGGATGGATTAATTCTCCTTTGGCTGTTATGTAACAATTATTACAAAGTAAGAAAATAATAGGTACGTACCTCATTAAGTTCTGAATCTAAATTAATTACATTTAGACACCTGATTTCATCAAACTTAAAGTTCTGATATACACCATTTAAAATGTGATTTGGAAGGAATGATCACTTTGGAGAGAAACAGGTAACTGCCTTTCTCCATGTCTCCTGCCCCTCACTCAGTTTCCCTCTGAACAGCTTTTCTCTGCAACCTCCATGCTACTATTGTTTTATTCGATCAAGGATGAGGTTTTTTGTTTTGTCTTGTTTTAGGCAGAGCTTCCCTTCATATAGACTCCCATCAGCAATGAACTCTGGAAGGCAGACTTATTTTTTATCTTTGAACACCAAAGGTTGGTGCTAAGGCTCAAAAAGGGGTTATTCGCCCATTTTAATCACCAACAGACCTTCCCTGCTGTTCATTTTAAAGCTATTTTTCTATTTTTAAGAAGTCTATAAAGTAGAGGTGGTTTGTAACAGGCAGGGGGGACATAGGCAAGAACAAAAGCATTTGCTTAGCTCAGAGGAAACCATCTGTAAAAGTGCTACCGGCGCAGTACAGACCCGGGCCACAGACACAAACGCACTGTTTGCTGATGTTACAGAAATAAGAAAATGAAGCATTGGTATAATTTTCGAAGAATTTAAAACAGAACTGAAAACAGGGGTGGATCTTATGAAGTTGTTCTCCTTAACTAATCTTACTTGCAATGTGTAAACCAATTAATCTGGAGTGTGCCATTGACGACATAAGGGACATAATAGCACTTTATTCGGTAATTAGCCACCCGGGAAGTAGACAAGTCATAGTTTGGAAAATTAGTACTGAATCTGTGAGCCTGGAATCCACCACGACTAAAGGCTATTGGTCAATAAATCAGTTGGTTATTCCATAGAACCCACTGGAACTAAAGACGGAGAAGTTTCCTATGCTTGGCTTATACACAGCCTTCTCAGAGTTTGTGGAAGACTTTGGACTCCCACAGTCTCCAACAGTCTCCATTATTGCAGGTCTCTAATCTCCAGTTCCCTTCTGTTGGTAATAGCAGATGGATCGAAGCCAGAGTACAGCTTGTTTAAGTCCCAAAATACTCTACACATCACTTCTATTTCAGATAACAAGCCGAATAAATTAAAACATGGATAAACTTGTCAACACCCAACAGAATCTGACATTCCAGAGACAGTATGATCTCTCACCCATTTGCCCGTGATCAGAAAGCCCAGCTCTATCTTTGCTAGCTAGAGAGAAGTTAAAAAGTATAACAGTTATCAACACACTCCTTTAGCCACATCAAAAAAACACTCTGTATGCACATCTTTAGGAAACAGCTCCACATCCAGGGTGCTGGGAAGCCCAGCTGTATACCAAAGTATATTGTGTTTACCTTTATAAATAACAAGTCAGGACCAGCTCAGGATCTCACACACAAGCGAGCCCTCGAGAGGAAAGGAGCTGGGGATATCCTAAAAGTGTTACTGACATTTGTTCTTCTCCTTAAACCTTGGAGAAGTTCCACAATTTACACTGTACCCACTGCCCCTAGATGCCACTGTTCAAGGCTTTTTTACTTAGCATGCAACTGCCTGCACTATTTTCTTCATCAACCATGATCAGTGGGGACCTAGAACCACTGATGGAAAAGGCAAACCAGAGACCAGCTTCCAGTAAAGCAAGGTTGAATGGAACCTTGTACTCACCTGAATCAATGTCTAAATGAACTTGAACAATAAGCCTCTTCCCCTGCAAGAGTCCTCCCCTCTTTCTATGAACGGGAATGGTCCTGTGCACTTCGCTATATCTGGAATCCTGGAAAACCAGCTACCTTGCTCATATGCTGACTCAAAGAGCTCACAACCGGCTTCTACTTCCCTATCCCAAGAGCTCCTCACTTTGCTGAGGAACTGGTCCAGACTAAATGAAGAGTAAACTGCTTCTTCACCCTCTTGGATCTAAGGACCCTAGGCAGGAGTTGGTTGGCTGCTCTCATGCGGGCCAGAATGCCATCACACCACCTTCCTAACAGTGTGTATAACACAGATTCACAGGAGAGCGTGAGAAAAGCAGGAGCCAATGGTGCTTTCTGTGAGTCAGAGACTCTTGGTTCAAATTCAGCTGTTTTCTACAGGGTCTCTCTCTCTCTCTCTCTCTCTCTCTCTCTCTCAATGTGTGTGTGTGTGTGTGTGTGTGTGTGTGTGTGTGTGTGTGTGTGTGTGGTGTTTCCCTTCCCTAGGAGGGATCTTTTCTCTGTTCTTAGGTCAGCTTTAGTCTTCTGCAGTTCCAGTTTATTTTATTTTATTTTATTTTATTTTATTTTATTTTATTTTATTTTGAACAATCACTTTGATGCATCATCATGCATGGACTGGTTGATTTGCTGTCTCCTGTGTGCCACGTAATTTCATGGGTAATCTGATGCCCGTTTTCAGTACAAGCAGGGAATTTTTTTAGGACATGATTGCCTTCCTAAGACCTAAAAGCTCTAGAGGTTGCTAGCTGGGTCAGCCATCCAATCAGGGAGGTGAACCCGCTGCACCTTGCTCTGGCCTTGGTGCTGAACCGGGAGCTTGCTTGATGAACCGCATTCACGGACATGGGAAACTTTGCTGAGTTGGAGGAGAGCCTGGCAGGGTCTAAGTACCCTTTCCATGGGTCACCCCTGGGAAACTGGGCCCAGGTGATGCCCTAGGACCCCCCTCCATATTCATGACGGGCATTTCTTTGCCTGGAGCCAAGAAAGTTTTGTCCAACGGTTTTTCCTGTCACTGGCGCTGCTATGTCCCCTCCCACCTGGGTCGCCATGGAGACTCAGCTCCTTCTTTCTCCAGGCAAAATGGGCGAAGCTTAGTTAGCTCAACCCTGACTGTAGGAAGCCCACTTTCTTCAACATTCCCTTTAAATGTTTTCAGCAAAAGAGAAAGGTAGCCAGAGCACAGTGCTTGCAGAAAAGTGGCACAGTGTGGGTACCCGTGTGCTCCCCAGGACCCCAAGACTTTGGATAAAGCAATTGTGGGCATTGTAAAGATGCAATGAATTGCCAACTCCAAGATACTGGAGGGGTTCTCCTCTTTTGTGTATTTGTGTGGGGGGAATAGAGGTGGAGAAAGGAGTCTTTGGAAAATTCTGTGATTTCCTTTTCCGCTAAGCTCACCTGGCTTCTGTGGCCGTTTCTAGGAAGATCTGTTCTCCCCTTAAGAGTCTCTCTGTGTTGAGCCCTGTAAAAATACCTGTGGATCCACCCAGGACTTCATTAGGCTTGGGGAATACGAATGCCATTTCAGTTAAAAACTAACCCAAGCTTAACGTCTTGATGCAAATGAACACTTACCCAGGAGAGAAGCTAAGCCAGCAGAGTCACCCAGTCCCCTAAATGGCATAAACACCTCCTTTGGTCCAAGCTGCTCCTTCCTTTCAGTTAGTTTACTTGTGAGGACATCTTCCTAGTTGGTGTCTTCAATCAGTCTGCCACATCTCGGGTTTACTGATGAAAACCATGCGGAGTCCTCTCCTGTCTCAGGGCTTATTCCTTCCTTCTGTTCACTTTCCCTCCTTCGCATCCTCTCCTCTTTATGCCAAAACAGAGCCAGGCTACAGCCTTCCACCAAGACAATGGGCTTTTCCTAACTCCCCCTGCCTACATCCGCCAGCCGTGCCTGCCTGCCTATCATCAGTGTGTTTGATCTTCACCAGAGGTGCTGAAATGAGGTCCATAGTAATTGACCCATTCTCTCCCGCCCAGGGCAGGCAGACCCCTCCTCCCGCCCCCCCCCCCCCTCCAGCCCCAGGCGAGTTTTTAAGCTGCTAATGAAAACCCATGAGACACATTTCCTTTTGGTTATGTAACTAGCTTTTCCTGCCTCTGGTGGACTTCAGCATCATGTCTCCTCGGAGTGGGGAATGCAAAAATCCACCAGAGGGGCTGGGGACCTGAAAGCCAGGACCCAAAGGCTCGGGGATCCTAGGACGTGGAACATCTGGCTGGGATCCATGCCAGCTCCTAGCCTTCCAGCAACTTAGCGCACTGCTTACCTTGTGGCGGACAGGGTGGGTTCACTTCATCGTGGTCGCCTCTCTTGGAACGGAGCAAGATTTGATAATTCACTCCTCTGTGAATGGCGAGGGAAGAAAATACAAAAAGAAGAGGTAACAGACGAACTGGAAGCAGATGGTCCAATTTCACATCAGCCTCGGCAGGCTGTTGGGAGACTCCATTCTTCTGCTCACGGTTGGTCCAGCTTCTGTTCCAGCTCCAGGCTCTCCGATTCCCGCGGATCCCCACCCTCCGCCGGCCCAACCTCTCCAGCCAGGTGCTGCCGTCTGGTGACTGGCTCCCTCTGGCTGGAGGGCTGGGCGCTGGGGCCACCGCGGGACAGAGGAGTGCGCGTGTGGGCAGCGACGGAGGAGGGAGTCCGGCAGCGACGGAGGGAGGGAGCCTAGAATGGCAGGGGGTGGGGGAAATCCACGTTGAGGAGCAAAGTGAAGGACCTCGTAGGGAGACTTCATGAAAGCCGCAGATTCAGTGAATCCTATTCGGCTCCAGCCCCACGGGCTGAACCGCGCTGTCAGCGCACTAAGCGACGCTTCTCTTCTCGAGATAAAAGCGGGCACAGCGCCGCACGCTGGAGAACCAAGGTGACACAGAGGCAGGCATCAGCATCGCAGGAGAGGCAGCGGCGGGGGCCCAGAGATGGAGCCGATCGAGCCGCCCACCCTCCTCGTCCAGCTTTCTTTCTTTCTTTCTTTCTTTCTTTCTTTCTTTCTTTCTTTCTT